TGGCCGGGGCAAAGAGGTGGCGGCTGCGGGCCCTTCCGCACCCTCTGGCACCGCGGGGTGGCAGGGAGGCCTCTCACAGACATACGGACTCCCCGGCCCTGTTCAGCTCACGCGGCTCTTCCCGGTTCCCTCGCCTGCGTGTGCCAGCAGGATCCGGGACAACTATTTCAACCACTAGCAAAGGAGGTTGAAAAGCTATTTCTGATTTTCTGCCTTTTTATTTTTTTCATTCTGGAGGAAGAAACTGTTTGAGTAGCCAGAGAGGTACACCAAGGATTCGCACCGTTGTGAATGGGCTCGGGGAAATATACCCACCCATTCCACAAAGGTGTGAAGGACAAGACAGAGTGGTAGAAATGAACCTGCTCCCAGCACAAATCTGTATATATTTAGTTTTGTAAAAAGGAATCCATACAGAAATATTTTCATATGCATTTTATACAATGGCTATATTTACACAACATTCTTACCTATGAGTTATTAACCCAATCTTCCAGGTTGACAGGACACCTGACCAAATGCCAGCTTTGCACAACACACTAGGCTAAACATGGTTAGCTACACTGGGCTTCAATGTTCTACGAACAAGTCACATTCTTTCTAATAAGCATTTCTGCAGATTATTTTTCCTTCATACAATCTGTTTCTGTTGAGTAAAAATGCACATATGCAAGTTGAGTTACAACTGCAATACTCTGAGTTCCACACAGATTTCTGAAAGACAAACTGAGTGAAGTGTATATTAAACTGCACGCTTCCCCCTATCCTCTTATGGTTAATGCAGCTGTACAAGAGGCATGACCAGGAATTACGCACATACCCTGAAGAACTTCCCAACTACTTATCTTTTCCTCACAGTGGGGAATAAGATTCAATCATTCTCAGGATGGACAAAAACCCAAGATACAAGGAAGCACCATTTTGGATTTGTGAAGGCAGCAAACTCCTCCCAAGTTCAATTTCAGTATTACAGCACCTAACCTATAACCCCTCTCCTAAAGACATGACAGATCTCAGGAGAAAGCAATACATGAATGCAGACATTTCTCTTGGGTGCTCTCCAAACGTCCTTCCCCACCTGACTTTAAAAAAAAAACTATTTTTTTCTTCAAATGCTACAAAACAAATACCAGCATTTTTACTTGCAAGAAAGCATCTGGAATTAAAATTTCCAGAAAATGCAGACGGTAGGAAATCGTAGCCTATTGAATGGGTAACTGCCAGCACATGTCAGTGTACATACCACACTTCAAAATTTCCATTTTACCTACCAGCCCTGAAAAGGTGCCTACGTGATGATGCCGTAACTCAAAAAAAAAAGTCAAGGCCATACAGAGCTTTATTTTGACCAGCAGTTAATGCAACTCACCTGGTCAAGCAGCATTTGGGCCAGGTCAGGCTGGTCAATTCGTAACTGGTTGAGTTTCTTGACTAGTACATGTCTAGAGAAAAAAGAGGCAGTATAAGAGCCGCAGGCCAGGAGAAAGGAGAGGACCCTTCTCTAAGAGATGCCTCTGAAAGCTGTCTCCTGGGTGACTTCTCCCCCATACCCGGTATTGATCTCCAGCGTGGGTTGCAGGATCTGGGCTCGTTCTTCACTGGTCTTTGCCAGCTGTTGCATGCGCAGGAAGTGACGGGCAGCACCCATCTCCAGCACCGTGATCATGGCTGGATACGAATCCAGACGTGGTGTCACCTGTAGGCAAGCCAAGAGACCCCAGCAAAGCCCAAACAGCACCTTGGGGCATGCTCTGCACCCCAGGAAGCTACCATGCCAACACAACTAAATTTCTTCCCCAAACCTGCTGATTCTAGGCCTACTCCCTCCTCTCCTCCCCTCGCCACATTTCACACTGGGGCTGCAGAAATAACTAATCATGACCACCAACAGAAATGTCCATTCAGTTTAAACCCTGACTTCAGTGATCTGAAACAGGGAGGGAGATCAAATATGACTCATATGTAAGGCTCCATTTGCAAGGAGTGCCTGAAGGATCCCCGAAGCAGCTTGTGCCAGCTTGGGAAAGAGGATGACTATAATAATTAGAGGAGGCGGCTGTCTAAGGATCCTAGGCACAAGAGCTATGCATGACCCACCACTTCTCCATGCTCTTCATCCCACTTCTGGAGTTCCCCACTGAGTTCTCCAACTTGCTATGGAAAATGGAGCTGAAGTCCAGGCTCCCTAATATGATACAACCCTGGGGGCTCCTTGGACGTGTATGTTCTTCCCCCCACACCCACTGAGCATGGCTTCCCTCATCTCTCACCTTGATAGTGGCAACACGTGAGCCAAGGGCATTTCTCATCCAGGCTAGAAGATCCTCCACCTCTTGGGAGCTCAGGCAATTTTCAGCTTAAGTGAGAGGATGAAAGCCACCACAGCAGCAGCATTTTGAGGAGAGAAACAACAAACTGAATCAAAGCTAAAAAGAGGTCACTACCTTTCCATCCCCAAAGGGATATAACAAGCCTTTCCTTGTTCTTTCTACAGCTGACCAATAGAGACTCTTCCTTACTCTCTACATCCCCCCTCAGAATCACAGGCTGACTTTGCTCCTCACAGCACTAAAATCCAGTTCCTTCTCCAGAGCATAAGGCAGCCATTTCTGGCCAAGGAAGGCCCCAATGATCAGACTGCTCCCATCATGCACCTACCTGAGTGACTTTCCTCAAACTTCTCCTCCTTGTAGTGGTCAACAGCAATATCTGTCTCTACTGAGATCAATTTCTTTTTGTCAAACTCTCGTAGGTGCAGAAGAGTCAGCTCATCAAATTGCTTATAGCAGAAGAGCACCTGGTGGCCCAGAGAGAAGGTGGGCTCAGCTCAAAACAGCTCCAAGAGAGCAATTTCTCCCTTCCCATATACACACTTGACTAGACTCTGTCTTCCACAGTATTTTCAATTACTATCTGCAGCAAACAAGCCATACCCTTTGAGATGCAGGAGCTCACAAGCCCCAGGAACCCTTGTTATATATATTATGGACTCTGACATCAGCAATTTGACAAGAGCCTGAGGGGAGGGGAAAAACAGGGGGAGTAGCACAGAGTGAGGAAGCAAACACGGACCAAAACTATCTAAAGAACACAGACATGCAAAGCCAGGAAGTATTTAGACCAGATGAAACTGAAAGCTGGCCTAAGATGAAAAACTGTTCAACAAGCAGAAAACACAACCCAGCTGAGGTGCATCTAACTCAAGAACATCAACAGCCAAAGCAAAAGAAGGACTGTCATAAAAGAGACGGTCAAACAGGAATTGCTGGGGAAACACTCCATGCACATACAAGTTCTGAAGTTGCAAACATGCTTGCTTCCTCCATTCCTCTCAAGTTTCTTGGCCAGTTGCCTGCTGAGGGTTCATTGAGTAAGTGAAAGCAAAAGGTGTGTGTGTAAAAGTGCTCAAGCAAAACTTGGCTAGATCCTGCTTACTAAAGGTAGAGGATTAACAAGATTCTTTGTGTCCTCTCCTGTCAGTTAGTATGGATTATGTACTTATCCTTGATCCCTTGGAAATAATCATCTCACTGAAAGGGGTGTGAGTGTGTTCCCCATATAAACTCCCAACTGCTGTCCAGGGCTACATCTCCAGCAATCTCAAGACACCCATTCCTGCCA